GGGGTTAAAAATAATGGCAGCAGGTTAGGTTCACCCCCCCCCCCTTGCTACCCCAACTGTAGCTGCCTGAAAAGTAAGAAATACTACTCACGCGAATGACGACCTACAGTCTCTGAGGACGGAGCTGTCCAACTTTGGCAGGCTGAGCGCGTTACAGCAGATGAAAGCGTACGCACACCGTTGTGAAATGAGGAAAGTTGAAAGTAACCAGAGCTCTTATCAACTGTGGGGCATGACCAACAAAGGGAGTGGTATCACAAAGGTATATAAAGGTATAATCAGCCCCTCCTTCACAGAGTCAGCACACTCTCGGCTTAGGCATCATGACTCACATGTACTGCATTTTAATGTTACACTAAATTTAGTGTAGTGCAATAAGGATCAGATTAGTAGCCTGATCAATGCCAGATCGACTTGGCCAAACTTCACGTTAGTATGGCTAGCATGATGAGCATGGCTAACATGCCAGTTGACTCGGTTTCACAGCAGAGACGCCGTTCAGGACACAGAAGCCCGAGCACATTCCACAGAGCTTCATTATGGATACAGCACAGCCCGCTGTTTACACCACTGCAGCCAGCTCTGTGCTTGGTAGTAGCACAAACACACCCATAGAAGTAAAGAAGCCGAAACAACACAACTGTCAATATTTATACTTTATACTGAGTATGGAAAGCATTCCACCATTCTACCATTCAAATATGTTTCAAACCAATCAACAGACAAGTGCACTTAACGCTGCAGTGTCGAGGCTCTACTTGTGGTTGTAAAAGGGGAAGTCAACAAGAGTTTGAACTTATTCTAACAAGTCTTTCGGTCTTTAAGACGTAGAGGTTATGACTTCTTCTTCTTTCTCACAATGTAGCTTATTTTTAGTGTAATGACACTGCCCAAGACAGAAAAAAATAGCCCTAATGTTCATTACAGATTACACATGTAGACAATAAGAGGGAACTAAAAAACAATAAACATCCATCTAAGGATGAAGTGAAAACAGGTCAAAACATATTTTAGATTTCAGCAGATATTTCTCTAAAATACTGCATAAATAAATTGTATGCGTATCGGAAGGCCTCGGGAAATATCTTCTGCTGATGTCAGAACAAAGTTATACTGCAGCTGGTGGAGACCTCAGTAAACAGATGTTAGTCCAGATGGTTTACACAAGAGATGTTAATCAACTTAGCTCTCAAGCTGAACTGGCTTTAACCCTGGTTATAAAGAATCTGCTGCTCCAAAACACTAACCTCCAAGCCATATGAAATACATATTCTGATCGGGCTGAAGCGTGTGGGAGATCTGTACGCTAACTTTAATGTCTAAGAGGTCTTAAGTTACTTGAAAGTCATCAGCCCATTCCCCTCAACAAAATGGTTGGAAAACAGTGCCTATAATTTAGGGGATAAAGACTAAACCTAAAATACAGAAACTAGCAGCTTCAGGGTTGCCTTTGTTCACTGAAAACTGCGTGCTAGGCATGCTCTGGCCCATCCACAAACTCCACTAGAGGTGTGTCAGCCTCCTCTGCCAAGGGAACATACCGTGACACACAGACTCTTGTGCAAAGCACACAGAGTAGTTCCCCAGTGACCAAAAATGGAACTACAATGAAATGGGGAATCATAAGAGACATCAAGTCTTAAAAATGAGGGAGGAGAGATAAGAACTTTCAGAGAATTTATTTGAGAATAGTTTATAATTTTTGGGAAATGCGTGTAAGAGGAGAATCCACTTAATTATTTTCACATGGGATAAAACTTCAGTTTGATGCATTGTAAGCTATGTCAAACCTTGAGACACTGAGAAACAGACAGCTGTAAGGGGGTGACTGATCTACTCCTGCCTACCTAAAATAGGCTGCACGGAGATCTAACAAATTGCCTACATCATTTAAACAGTCTGGCCTTCTTCCTTTGCAGCTAATGAACAAGGAAAAACACCAGCATTTCTGTTAGCTTCCATGTACACAACACTAAATGTGACATGGCAGGGCACAGCTGGACTGCTCCAACAATGAGGAATGGCGGTGGGAGTGCCGAGAGAGATAGCGAGTGAAACTGGGAAGTGTGTGTGTGCGTGGCGCAGCAGGCAAATCCTCAGAGGCTAGAATGTGGGTTGACGCAGATTAAGGAGCCTCCCTTCCTCCCAGATGAATGGTGTGCATTTTAATTACACAAACGCTGCTCCGCATGGGGCTCATTACAGGAGAGAGAGAGAGAGAGAGAGAGAGAGAGGAGAGAGAGAGAGAGAGAGAGAGAGAGAGAGAGAGAGGAGATAAAAAGGGGGACTGGGAAGATTGGGGTGGCAAGAGGAAGGGATGAAAAAAAGACAGGAAAATCAAGGAATGAAGGGAGGGGGTGCAGGAAAGTGAGGGTATGAAAAGGAAACCATTTGAAGAGTCAAGTATTCAGCAGCAAAGAGAAGGACAGGTGTTGGATCTGGATCGCATTTAAATGGCATCCTTACATAGTCAAAATTAATATTAAAAAAGAATATATATATATATAAAGTATTAAGACAATCCTGGAGCGCTACTTTTGTTCTATGAGGTGTGATCAATAGAAGTCCTGCACGTCAAGAGAGGTAAGCCTCCATTCTTACAGACAGGAAATCCTGCCTGCTTGAGCCCTTATCAGTGCTGACCACTGCACAGAATGAATCTATGCTGTCTACTACTCAACATGTCTTGTTAGTGGTAGCGTTTCATTTCAAAATAGGTCCTATCAAACGTAACGCAACCAAACACAGCCAATAACAACCTGCAGGGGGTGATGTCGAGTTGCGTGTGAGAGCCGAGCACACTCCTGGCTCCTTTCTTCTAAGGGCTGACATACAGAGCAGGCTTCATCTGTGAGGGTTCATAAATGCAGAGGCATTTACACAGATATGTGCTGACATCAAAGTGAAACGAACGGGATGAATATCAGCTGCAAGATTCAGTCTGTGCTGCAAGTTTACCTGTGTTCCCTGACCTCCTTTCTGCGTCTCCCTACCCTCAATCCTTTCATTTCTTCCCGCTGTGTCTGATGTGTTGCAAGGTGCACGCAGGCTGATATGAATTCCTAACATGCCACAGCTCGTCTTCAAAATACGAGAGAAAGAGTGAGAGACGGAAAGAAATGTGTGATAAGGCAGAAAAGAAGAGAGTGAAGGCAAGACAGGACAGAAGAAAGAAAACAAAATGTCAGCTGTTAGACAAAGACATTTTAGTAGTTTAGTATTTTAGTGTAGTAAAAGAGAGTGTCTTAATGTAAAATGTCAAAAATGAACATGTAAAAACAATCTATTGTACGGAACAACGCTCAGTTTCTAGCTTGTGAGTGTGTGCCGACTTGAAGCGACAGCCTTTCATGTTCTGTTGTGAAAGATATGGCCTTTCAATGTGACACAAGCTGACAGACCCTCACAGAGATGATGAATCCCTCTCATTGCTTCCACCAGAAGCAAAAAAAAAAAAAAAAGAAATGGGGACAAGATGGGCGCACATGCAGTTACACTTTACTCCCCTCTGGGCTTGTGTTAGACAGCAGAAGGCCTGTGCCTGTGTTCATTTGGAGCGCTTCAGCGGGTTCACAAAATTAAATCACACTAGAAACAGTAACACACAAACACACCCACACACACACACACATACACATACACATACACAGGTGCAACAATAGAACAACATTGCACACAGGTGCCTCTG